GAAAGCACAATTCAATAATTTTAGATATAACATTAGAAACAGTAATAGGTCTATAGTTTTCCGGTTGGGAGGGATCAACATTGGAACCAGTATTTCCTATTGAAATGCCTTGGGTACGATACCATATTTAATACAAATATTGAAGATAGTGGAAATAGTGGCAAGTATGGACTTTTGAATTCAGGAAATGCCTTAGATGCTCAACTGCCACACTGTCAGGTCCCAGGGCAGAAGATGAGTTAAGACAATTAATAAACCGAGCAATCGTGTCAGCATCTAATGCATGAATATCGAAAAGTGAACCATTTAATGAGTTACATTTGTTTGTGATAAAAGAATCGGCAATGTCAACATTTGACTTAATTGGCCCAAATTTTTCTTTAAAGAAACTATTGAAGAGAGGCAATATCAATACGTACTTGTACTATGTAGCATTGTTTTTAATCTTTTTAATCGTGTTACAGAATTTTTTTACTGTTTTTTTCCATAGATAATTTATTGATGTTATTAAATTTTGTATTAACAACATCTTTGACAGCACGTCGGCAAACTTTCCTATAACATCTCTTAGCATATTTATAACGCTCATAAATTTGACCTTACTTTATATACTTTAATTTATATACTTTATGCAACTTCAATTCAAACTTAAATCAACTGCACTGCAAATTCCTACATGCGCAAGTTTTCAATCATAATTATTTGTCTTGTGTATGTATATGCAAACATGGGAACACCTTTGGAAAACAGTAGCGTGGATCCTTATTTGCAGAACTCAACTAATACGGAAAGCGAGACAATAAAACGGCTGTTGTAAATTAGAAGACGGCGGGACTACCTGCTGACTGTGTTGCACCAACTAAACCACCATTCACTTGTGTCGGCGTCGACTGCTTGGGCCATTTGAAGTATTTTTTTAAAAATTCATTTTCCACTTCCTACGCTGTATGATTTGAATTTACGTCGTTGCTCTTCTTCAGATTCTGTGTTCATTTTTTACTTTCTTTTTAGATGTAGCCTACTGTATCTAAGTGAGTTTGTAAGTTTTAAGCTCTAGGTCTGCAATTAGGCTACCAACTCCATTAGAGACTTGTCCGCTTTGGTGTATTTATGGAATAACAAAATATAATAAAATTATTCAAGCCTTTCAATAAGGTTTAAGAATCAACACACATGTATAGCCTATCCTCCCTGTGATTGATTTTATATTAACCATACATTGTGACATAGAAAATAACAATAATAAAGAACTCAACAGCTGATTTAATTACAATCCCTCTTTGACTAATACTTACACAATGCAAAAAGTTTATTTTGTCTATGTTTTGTATTTGGTTTTAGGTAGGTGGCATTACTGACAGAAAGTGTTGGAATTCACCAGACCACCAGGCACTGCTATCACTTTATATTGGCGAACGGTGCGAAGACGTCTGGATCTACGCCTGCCTCTAGGTGGCCGGAAATTGCACTCTCATGCCTTAACAACAATACAAAACAACAATTATTTTTCTTAATACAATTTGGGGGGGGGGTGCGACCTCATCCTTTGCATCCGCCCCCAGATCTTAACAAACCTGATATTCTGTAACCTAAAAAACTATTTAAGGATTTGATTATGTGGATAACGTTCCACCACATTGTCTTTATGGTGAACAGTATATCAAAGTGTTACCAATCAAATGGCTAGCCTTTGCAATCATAGAACGTTTTTATATCAAATTTCGAAGTGGTGAGATTGACCAGAGACTTACAGAATTTATCCAATGCCAGTTACATTAATACCACGTTCTTTAAAGCATTCACCTGCATTGGAAGGCATATGAATGGCGTGAGTGGCTGTTAGCAAATTCTTCCAAGACAATATTTGGAGCATTTGTTACTACAGTAGTTGTAGATTTAATTTTCAGGCTCTCCACAGACCCTGTTGAGAAAGAGGACATCTGAATTGCCCATGCAAATTTATCCAAATGTGTGATACAATTCAAAGGCCTGTACAGTATTCAAAATATGTTGTTTTTATGTACATCATCTCTTATATATTGCACATATAGTTAAGCACTGACCACCTCTGTGGACCTTCTCTGTGGAGAAGAGCACGAGGCAATGTGTGCTTAGTTTCACAGTTTTGCAAGTGCAAAAGAAAGAGAGTCTAGCAATTAGGCTGACTACATAATCAAATTTATGCTGTCTTTACCATGTGACATATACTGTACAGTGTTGAGGTCTACAGACAAAACATTATCCAGCCCAGAAAACTGAGTCCCTGTATACTGCAAATTGCTAATCAAAGCCAATGCTAATATAAAAACAATTAAGGAAGTCAAAATTAAGCATTAACCTTAATAATTTGCTTTTAGATGCTTGCAAAAAAACAAATTACCAATTAAGGCTCAAGAAAGGATGTAGAATCTGTAATATATTGACATCGCAAGACGTATTGCTGAGCATGCACAGTGCACAGCAGGAGGACAGGGTTTTGGTACTATAAAGGACATGGACGAGGGTTAGAATAAAGATTCAAAAGCCTAAATACGTCTCCAACATTTATTTATAAATTTAGAAATATTGCAGAGAACATGCAAAATAACACATGGTGTATAACACCATGTGCTGCTACACGACGAGAGTGTATGCACCATCAATACTTACAACCACAACAACGTGGGTGAGTGTATCAAATTCAACATGGCGCAGTCTTCGATGTTAAATTTACCAAGGCAGATACCAATCCAGGGAGACAACTTGGCAGAAAAGTGGAAAGATTTCAAAACACATTTTAATTTATACCTGTTGGCGACATTTAAAAGGAAACCAAGTGATGTAAGAAAAATTGCCATTCT